CAGTTGGGAGAGGCGGCGTTTCTCCCCGTGGGGCCCCGAGCAGGGGTTAGGACTTTTTGGTTTTTACCAGCCCCTTCTGGACCAGACAGCGGTAGAACTCCTGGATGTACGTGTACACGCACTTCCAGTCAGGCTCTCGAAGCCGCACCATGTCCTCTGTATCCAGGAGCTGCGGGCAGTCCGCATGGGTCCTGGGGAGGGTAGGGGGCCGGAAGGGGCAGGGGGCAGGGCCCAGGCAGGGAAGAGGGGGAAGAGGCAGAGAAGAGAGAGGGGAGGAGAACAGAGAGACACACACATACACACACACACAGAGACATGAGTTCAGTTCCGTTCCTGGTGCAGCATTCTGCCAGCCCCCCGCATGCCGCCTCCCCACCGTGGACGTGCCGCTTACTACCCGTCACTAATGGTGTGCGATGCAGACAGGGGTGGGGGGGCCAAACCAGTCACAGGTGCAGAGAACTCTTGGGGCAAGCGGGGTGGGGGGGCGATGGCATTGACGCCACAGTTGGAGAGGAGGGCTGTGCCCCAGGGGAAGGGGGGTGAGGGAGGCGTGAGAGGAGGTGGGGAGAGGAGGAAGAGGAAGAACTCTGGGGGGCAAGAGAACCAGAAAGAGAAGGGGAGAAAAGGAAAGACGGATGGAAGAGGGTGCTGAGGGTGAGGTGAGCAGACAGAGCAACGATTCCAAAGTGGAAGGCTTGCTGATGTCCTATATAAGCCTCTGGCAGCGCCTATATAGGCTGGGCGGGCCCGGGCCCGGGCCAGCAGCCTCCTTTTGGAATCTCCAGCCGGGATCCCGTGGGAGCAGGAAGCTCTGGTAATAGTGGGAGGAGAGCAGGACAGAGAGAGAGAGAGAGAAGGGGGCAGAGGGAGGGTGGAGGGGATAAGGAAGGGCCACCTGGTAGGTCTTGGCCCAGACTGGTAGGCGGGCCTGCGGCTCCTTCCTTCCGACGGGCACCTGGGACACTCATCCGGCGGAGGATGGGGACTCTCTGGGGTGGGGGTCTCAGCTGCTCACTGACAGCGCAGCTGGCCAGCTCCAGGGGAGGTTGGGGCGGCTGGGTCTGGCCCAGATGCCCAGCTCCAGATGCCCAGCTGACACTGTAGGGCTGGGGCCCACACTTACTCGGCGGATGAGAAGGCCACCTCAAAGTTCTGGCGCCGGTTCTGTGGGCTGAGCTGCCCATAGTCAAAGGCCTCAGGGAAGAAGTTGTGCACCAGGGCACAGAAGGCCATCCCATCACTCCAGCTGGAGGAGAAGTTCTGGATGTCCACGTGCTACAGGGAGGCAGGGAGTTAGGACGACGGGTCAGGGCCCAGGAGGACAACTCTCCCATGCCCCTATCCCCCACACCTAAGGTAATGGACTCTGAGAGATCCTGTAGCTTGCTCGAGGCTGGCCGGTGGGTGCAGTCAGAACAAGAGCCTCTTCTGTCACTGCCTGTCAAATTCCACATCTGATACTTAGGAGGACAAGGCTACTGAGATGCCTGGGACCATCCCACTATGGGCCACAGTCATGTCCTCATCACTCCTTCCAGAACTTACAGAAACTTACCTAGCACCCACCAGAGCAAGGAGGGCCTTCCACGATTGGAGTCTGGCCTTTACACACCCACTAGGGTGTGCCTAGTGTCGACCTAGCCCCTAGGTCGGCCCACCCCTTGGGTCCCAAGGGTCTGCCACTTCATCACTTATTCGGGATCTAGGGCATGTCACGTGGCCCCTCGTCCTAGAAGATGACTTTCCACAGTCCCTGCCAGATCCCACCCCGCCTTACCCAGTGGCTGTGACGTATACAGGGAAATGAGAAAGCATTCTGACAAGGTGCTGAGCTGGGGCCTGGGGAAGCTGGGGCCTGGGGAGGCCCATGGACCACCCGGTCTCCTGGGCTCACCTCGTAGCCACGTGTCTTGGCTCGGCACCAATCCAGCAACATCTGCTTGATGCTGTTGGCGTTCGGGACCCCAAAGCTCGTGGAGCGTTGTACTGCCACGCGGGGTCCGCCAGGGCTGCTGTGGGGGTGATATCAAGACCAGGTCACAAGACTACAAGGGACAGGCCCTAGGTCGGCCCACCCCTTGGGTCCCAAGCTCCGCCTTCCACGATCTCCAGGTCCCTCCTACTAGACCTCGAGCCGGTCTTCTCGCTTCTGTCCCCTCCCACCACCACCAGGCCCCGCCCCCACTGCCCCGTCCAGCCCAGCCCCAGCCCAGCCCTCTGCCGCCCAGCCCTCTGCCGCCCAGCCCTCTGCCGCTCACCCCGCGGCGCCCTCCTTCTCCAGCTTTTCGATCATAGCCTTGCGCGCCTGGGAGGCCGAGGTCTTGGGTAGACTCTGCGCCTTCATCAGCTCTTTCTTCTTCTCCGCCTGGCGTTTCTCAAGCGCTGCCAGGCTGCCTGGGCGTGGGCTGGTCTGGTCCTCGCGGTCGAAGATGCTGGGAGGTGGGGAGGTGGCTGTTGGGCCCGCAGAAGGCAGTAGCTCCCCAGCTTGAGCAACCCCTCGCTAAGGGAGGGGTCTGGTAGTGCGCCAGAACCCCTCTCACCCTGTGGTATCTCCACGACCTGCAATGCCAGGAGGTGCCCTCCTCACACCCATTTTACACAGAACACTGAGGCTCAGATGACAGGAAGGTGGGAGCTTGTGTTCCTTGTAGTGTCAAAGTACAGGTGAGTCCAGATTCTGGGCAGGTAACAATGTGAAAATGACGACCAGTACAGTAATAGTACTGGTTAAGTCATGGTAAAGGCCTTTCTTGTGTGCCATTTCACACTTCACCAGAAGAGGCAGGGACCCCTCCAGTAAAGACGAGGGAGCGGAGGCCCCTGGTAGTACCTGGCCTGAGATTTCAGAGTCGAGGGCCAGAGTGGACACGTGAATGCTGGTCTCTGACCTGGAGTCCCTGGACTCCTCACTTCCAGGGTAGATTCTGATCCTGAGCCTGCTGTCAGCCTGACACCGACTGTAACACGCAGCGTACCCCTCCTTCACGCGGCTAAGGTGTAAAGGCGCTCCAAGACCTGGGACGTGGTCCGTGCACACAGGGAAGCGGCAGCGCAGTGGGGCAAGCTCCCTCGCACCGTTCATGTTCATTGCTGCTACTCAGAGCCGACTCAGAGCAAGTGTCTGCCTCCGAGCAAGCTGTTAAGTGAGCAAGCATTTGCCGCTCCCTGGCTGTGTGCCTCCCACCTCCCAGCACCTCAGTCTACCCCTCTGCAGAAGGCTTATGCAGTGCGGTCCCCTGTGGTGCTGACTCCTCTGTGGTCTGGGGGGTGGGTGTCTGTGCTCACCTGCCCATTTTCTTGGAGGAGGAGGAAGAGGAAGAGGAGAAGGTCTTGGTCTGCACGGTGGTGCTTCCGCTGCCGTCTGCAACAAACAGGAAGGGGAGCTGGGTTAGGGCCTGGACGGGACCTCAGGAGATGGGGTGGAAGGCTGTGCAGAGGGATGATGACAGCCACAGGCAGAGAAGAGAAAGTGCTGGCACAGTTGAAGACGTGGAAAGAGAGCTTGAGGAAGGGCCCAAGGAGGTGGGCAGGCAGGCACATGGCGACATCAGGCGGCCTTACTCTCTGAGCGCCTCATGAAACTTGACTCCACTGTGGTGGTGCGGGCTGTCCGTGTGCCATCATCTGGAGGGGCAGGGGATGAGAGAAAGGGCATGAGAGGCACAGGGGTCAATGGGGAGACCGTGTTCCCACCCTGAGCCCCGAATCCCCTGTGGCCTCTTACTGGAGTGGATGAGGCGCTCAGTCTTGGTAACGGTGCTAACAGCTGAGCCATCAGCTGCCCGCTGGGTGTGCCGCGTGGTGGTCTCTGTGGCCGTGTTGCCACGGCCATCTCCTGGCCGGGCCCGTGCCTCCTGTAGCCGCTGTTCCCGCTCCTTGTCCCGCTGATCTGGGTGGGAGGATGCCCCATGCATGCCCGGAAGGGCCACCCAATGCCCACACAGCACGTAGGCACAGGCACACGGGCACACAAGACGGGGTGGAGGGTAGCTTGTTAGAAACACTAATGACACAGGTGACGAGGGCCTCTCTGGGAGCAGCTGGAGGTGAAAGGACAGCTATAACTTGGGAATGGGGTACATATGTGGGGTGGGCAGTGGACTCAGGCAGAAACTGGAGAGTATGGAATAGCTGAACTCAAAGATGTATTTGAACCTGAGAAGGGAGTAGCTGGGCCTGGAGGGAGTAGCTGGGTCAGGGACAGAGAAGTAGGGTGAGGGCAGTGGCTCAGAGGGCCGTCAGGTGGGTCTTAGAAGGGAGAGGGGCAGCCAGAGAAGGGAGGGAGTCACTAGAGGTAAGTGAGAAAAAAATCTGACCCACAGCAAGCACAGTCAGCAGAGAAGGTGGCAAAGGGGGTTGACGGGGCCGAAAGAAGGAGGTGGGTGTAGATAGAAGCTGGGGTGGCCCTGGCAGAAGCAGCTAGATTCAGAGCAGGAATAACTGAGAGTATCTAGAGAAGCAGATGAAGTTAAAATCGGAGGGAGGCAGTATCAGGGGGAGGAAGTAGCTGTGCCCAGGAAGGAGAAGCAGGGCGGGGGCAGAGGCTAAGGTGGCCCTCGGCAGTCCTCAGGGACAGGAGCAGCTGCAAGAAGTATCTGGATTCAGGGAAGAAGGAGCTGACAGTACTTGGAGAAGCAATTGGATCCCAGGAGACAGTAGCTGGAGGGGGAAGTAACCAGATCCAGGAAGGACAAGAGAAGCTGGTTGGGGACAGAAACTGAGGTGGCTGAAGGGAAAGCAGCACCTAAGAACAGGGGCAGCTGGAGCCGGGGGAAGGTGGTAAGGGGACAGCTGGGTCTAGAGGAGGAGGAGTTGGGGAGGGCAGTTACTCAGCTGGGGTGTCCACAAATGGACCCTAGAGTGAGGGGAGCAGCTGGGGAGGGCGCAGCTATGCCAGGGGAGGGTAACTGGGTCTCTACCTCTCTTTCTTTGTCGGAGTTCACGCAGCGCTGCCCGGATCCGTTTCCGCTCCTCAAAGTCGGTGGTTTGATCCAGCTGGGGACAAAAGTGCCATTGTCCACCTGGTGTGGCCAGTCCCCGTCCCCTGCCCACCCCTAGACTCCCAGGTCTGGCCATACCATCTTGTCCAGGACTCCTTCATCCTCAATAGCCATGAGTTCCTCGGTGCTCAGTAGGCTCCGCCCCTCTGGTGCTTTGTCCCCCCGGGACTGGGTCTGTTCAGCGCCGTTGGCCACTTCCACTGCCGTAGACAGGGGCTCTGCAGGTTCTGGTTCCATCTGAGAGGTGGGATGAGGGTGTGGACTTTAAGCGGGGGTATGGGCGAAGTCCACCATGTCCGCAGTGGACAGGGGACTAGATCCTGGGGCTGTTGGCACAGACTTGGAAATAACTGCAGCCTGCCAAGCCTGACGGCTCAAGGATGGCCATGGGCGTGTCAGGCTCGGGGAGAAGATGCCGACAGCTTCATGGTAGGGCTTCTCATGTCCCCAGAATCATATCAATATGATTAACACAATTGACGGACGCAATAATGATTTCCATATAGTAGCAAGCATTGTATAAACGCTGGAGATTTTACTGAATGACTTGCCCATGATCCTGAGCTGAAGGTAGCCTAACTCCTGAACCTCAGTTCACTTGTTCTTTCTTCCTTTCTCTTCTTTTTTTTTTTTTTTACTTTGCTACAGGGTGCATGTGCTCACCAGAGAGGCAGAGAGAGAGAAAAAGTGAGCAAGCTCTCCCTAGGGAGGATGGCCACGATCCAATCCTTTCTCCTTCATTTCCTCTCTGGATTTTGAGCATGATGCATGTATGTCCAGCATTTTGTCTTTCTTTTTTTTTTTTTAAGAGAAATTGTTGCTCTAGCCTGCTTGCAGAAGAAACAGAGAGACAGATAGATAGAAAGCAAGAAATCATCTCCCGGGGGGGATGGCCATATTGCAATCCCTTCTCCACTTTCCTCTCGGGATCTTAAACACACACGCACATGCATGGTGTGAGTTTTAAGCTGCCAGGTCCAGAACTCAAACCATGGTCGACTACGTGGGAGTCCAGCGACATACCCATTACACCACCTGCTGGCCCTGTCCAGCATGTTTTTCAAGCCACCGGGTTCAGAAGTCACTGTGTGGTCGGCCGGCCGTGTGGGACTAGCCGCCTTGACCACCGCACCATTGGCTGGCCCCTAACCTGAGTCCTTTCTGCTGCTTCATTCTCAGCCCCTCTCAGGCAGGCTCGGCTCTGTCCTGCCAGTTCTCAAGGCCTGGGTCCTTCTGGGTCAGTGCCCAGGCAGTACATCTCTCACTCCCTTGCCAAGGGGGCTGGGCCAGGACCTGCAGGCTCCTGACCAGGCGTCTGACTGGGGCTGCCATGAGCCAAGACTTTTCTGAAGCTCTCCTCTGTACCATCCTGCCCCCGCGCTCTGCCCCTGCTGGGAACCCTCTTCTAAGGGTCCTCCGGCCCCAACCCAGCCCCTCTCCCTTCCCAGGGCACTGCTCAGTCCAACTATGACAGCCCCTCCCCTCCTGGCAGGGCCTCTCTGTCTGCCGCAAGGGAGAGGGGAGCCGAGGTGGCAGCTGTTTCAGGAAGGTTTGGCCTGGCTGGGGTGGGAATGTGGGGTGGGCCTGGGGGCTGGGCCATGCCAGAGGTGCCAGGGCAGACACCAACGCACGTGCCTCAGGGCTGGAGCCTGGCACGTTCTCACCCTCATCTTAGAGTACCAGTGCCCCAGCCCCTGTATGGAGAGGTTAGCTGAGGCTCAGAAAAGGTGGTGCACACCTGAGATTACTCTGCAGTGGCACAACTTGGTTCAAACCAGCCCCCCCACAACCCGCACCCTGACCAGCCCAGAGGGACTTACAAGACTGCTGCTTAGGGCAGGGCCAGCAGAAGAGCGGCGGCGGGTGCTGAAGGCAGGCGGGTGGGCCACGGGGGTCCCGGTACCCTCGGCCGCCTGAAAGAGGGCCTCGGGGTCTGCGG